AAGAGATAAGGTTTCATATAGTCAAGTCAAAGACATAAGTTAATTAGTAAGTTTTTGAGTTATAAGCCAAGTCCTTACTTTATACGCAGTTGTGATCACACCAAACATACACATGTGTTTGCTAATTTAATGTATTATACTCCTCAGTAGATTCTTGAAAAAAGTTTTTCATGAAATCTAATTGGTGTCAATTATCATATGATAATTTAATAAATATAATTTAATGAATTAATATATTTGTAGCCATAGGCTATCGTAGCCGTAACTAAAATATCCTTTCTTTGTTAATTAGGGTTAAGATGAGGTAAAAATAGTATATGTGTGAAAAGATGTGTTTTATAGTACAATTTAGCAAGGATTTTTTTTTTGTTAGAACTCAAAGTAGAGATGTTAATGGCGTAGGATACTCTGAAGTAACTCTGAGGTATAGCCTACTCCATACCGGTGTGGTTTAGATAAAATACCACCCCAGATTAATAAGATATAATTAATAGAAGTAAATACTTTGGAATAATACTACTAATATAAAATAGTTTATACTCTAGAGTATTATTACATATATGTAATTTACTCTAATCGTTTGTCACATGATAAAGATCATTCAAAATGATTCAAGGTTATTATATGTATATTAAACTTTTTATATTAAACTCTTAAATTATATTTTATCATCTAAAGTATTGTGACTCACTCAAGCTATACTTACTAATCCTTTAATGCAAGCAACTTGAAACATATAAATCCTGTTTAATTTCAATTCTCATTATTATTTACTGTTTTCTGGATTGAATTAACTCACATAAAAAGTTACCAAACAAGTTTTTTAGCATCATCAGTTACCTGATATCGATATAAAGTTTGACATATATGTAGAAACATATGTACATATGAACATATATAACTAATATGCATGTTCAACCAGTTCTCTCTTAGCATTACTCAAACATGCATATAACTTAAATTTATATGTATTTATATAAAGACAGTGTTTCTTAAAGAAAACAAAACTCATGTTCATTTTTCTAAGTGGAAATAACCTGCCCTAATATTCTCTTAAACTTTTAAATACATTCATTTTTTTTTGCAACACTAAACTAAAAAAAAAAATCTTTATCATAATCTCTATAATGCGTTATTGTTCTTTTTAACGGATCTATGAATATAATAAATGAAAATCATGAAAAACCTCTCTTTATGGTTGACAAGTGTCAAATTAACGATTATGGAATAAGAACTTCATTAGCAGTAATACAATTAAAAAAAAAAAACTTTAAAAAAAAAAACTTTATTTTTGACAAGTGTAAACTTAACGATTATGGTAATATGATTTTTATTTTTTATATGTCCCAACAGTTATGAAATAACTTTGACGATTATAAAATAAGAACTTTGATAATGGTAATATCACAAAAAAAAACTTTTTTAACATGTGTCAATAGCTATAAAATAAGAACTTTGTCTAATAGTAAGAAAAAAAATTTTTAACATATGTCAATGATTACGAAATAAGAACTGTAGTAGCAAAAAAAAAAAAAAAATTAACATATGTCAATATTATAAAAATAAGAACTTTGAGTACTTTATCATGAACATTTAATTATAAACATTCAATCATGAATATTCAATTGCTCTAGAAAATCAACCGTTTGAATATTATATCTCAAGAAACTCATAATGGCTTAGATATTGCCAACTATAGTAAAAATATGACCCTTGATATAGAGGCTAGTAAAGATATTAACTTTGAGAATGATGCTGTTATTGTTGATGGTGAAAATATGAACTTTGATATTAATAATGATAAAAATATTGGTTTCGCTTTTGATGATAGTGACAATATAAATTATGCTCCTGATAATGAAAATACAAGCATTGTTAATAGTGATAGTATAAATCCTACTATAGATTCAAGTAATAAGGATACTTCTGTTAACCATAGTAAGAGTACTTCAAAATGGAATAGACAACACATATCTATTGTGTGGGAGTTTTTTTCAGAAGAAAAAAATAAAGATAAAGAAGTAGTTGTAATAGTTTGCAATATTTGCAAGAAAAAATAGAAACCAGGCAATATGACAGGAACTTTTGCAATTCACTTTAATAATAAATATTATAGAAATATTTCTCTAAAACAGCAAATACTCTTACATTTTACAACTACACTATATATACCAAAAGAGACAAAACGAACAAATGATATTACTAAAAGGTGGTTGATTTCATCGTGTGTTGCCAATTACCTTTTTTTGTCATAGACAATAAATACTTTAGAGAAATGCTTAGTGTTCTTGATCCATGATATCGTGTTTTATGCCAGCAAGTATTGAGTAGTGAAATAATGAATTCATTTGAAGAAACACATGAAAAAATGATAAATTTATTTGAAAATATTAGTTTAATAATTTCAGTTACATGTGATATATGGACTTCTATATCTAACCAAGCATATTTGGATATAACCACACACTATATTGATAACAATTGGAAAATGCGAAGCTTTCTTCTTAATTTAATATATTATCTAGACTATTATTATGAAATACATACCAAAGACTTGCTTTTAATACTATTCAATAAATTTAAAATTACGCAACATATTTTTGGACTTACCACTGATAATGATGCAAGCATAATCATTGCAGAACGTGAGCTACAAATAACTTTTTTATTCTTAGGAAATAATGAATTTATATACTATAGATGTGTAGCACATATTTTAAATATCACAGTGAAACATAGTATGCAGTTTGAAACTATAATTATTAAGAAAGTTAGGAACTTTATAAAAAAGATCTGCTACTCCCAATTACTATATGACAATTTACGAAATATTTGTGCTATACAAGAAGTTAAGTATCTAAAACCAAAGCTTGATGTTGAAACACGTTGGAATAGTACGTTCTTGATATTGCAAAAGTTTAATAGAATGTGAGAAATATTAGAATTTTTGGTTACAAAAAACAAAAGATAGCTCAAAAATTTGTGGCTTGGTAAAAGTGAGTGAATACAAATCGATGCAATGCTAAAGCTTCTTGAACCAATATACCAGATGACATTATTATTGTCTGCTAGTTCCTATCTGGCTATTAGTGATATTTGTCTTGTGTTTATTGGGCTTCAGCATCACCTTGATCAATATCTTTCAGATTATAAAGAGGATGAATATTATATAGCACAATCAATAATACACAAACTAGTAGAATATTAAGATGTTATTAAAGAATCGACTATATTACCCACCTTACTTAATCTATGCTCAAAGTTGAAACTTTTGTAACATATAAAGCATAATCAGCTACTATAAGTATATTATGCCAATATATATCAAGCTATAAAGAAACATCTTCGAATATACTTACTACTACACAAGAAAGAGAAAGTTAAGAAAAAAAAGAATTAGTGTTTATTTTTTGAATCACTATTACAACAAAAAAATGATACAACAATTGAAAATGAGCTAGAACAATATTTGGCTCTCCTACTTGCCTTTGAAGAAAACCTACTTAAATAGTAGTATAAATTTGAGAAAGAATTTCCAACACTCAGTAAAATGGCAAAATATTACTTGTCTGTGCAAGAAACTAGTGTTCCAAGCAAACGTGCATTTTTAATTGCAGCCCATACTATTACAAAAATTAGAAGTAATCTTGCTTCAGATTCAGTACATACCGTAATATGTTTAATGAGTTGGATAACAAAGGTTCGTGATGATTATCATGATTATAATAAATTGTAACAAACCTTTAGCTATATAATTATTTTATGATAGTAACAGGCTTGGATTTTAGATTAGTGGTTCTTGTTGTTTTTGGAATTAAATATATAATTAGATGAATTTTATTTAATAGGTTAGAAAATATTCAAATAATGGTGAAGATGGTTTTTTTTGGACAATATACTCTTTTTTAGGTTGATATTATTGAATATACATATTTATGCATACTACCAAATATAATTCATATAATTAGATATATATGGGGTCTTTGCAGTAGAAAGGGTGGAAACCCGAATATATATAATTTTGAGAAAATCGATTTTGAAAATTTGATCACGTGTAAACAAATCAAGACAAAAATAGAATAT